GTTGGGATCTTTTTTCCAGAATTCGCCGGATCCTTTTTGGCATCCTGCGGTTCATCCGAATGCGTGCCGGTTTTCTTGGGACGAACGTCGCGTCAGCCTCGTGAACTTTCTGGACAATGGTCCTATATAGTTCTTCCACCGCAGCTGGTCCCAGTGTGAATTGTTCAACGAAGATGCGTATTCCTGAGAAGTCTGCACGGCAGAAGTCTCGAAACCACGTTTGATGTTTGGGATTCCTGGCCCAACAGCAGATGAAATCAAAGGTCAGCACACGACAATTTCTGTGGATGGAAAACAGAAACAAAGCTCATGAGCCAAAGCCCAATAAGCAAGGTTGCACATCACCAATACTTACATATGAATCAATCAAAATGACAGACACAGTACACTACAAGCCAAACAATACCGAATTGGCGGACTTTTTAGCCCAAGTGTATATTGGCTGAGTAAAACAAGTTGGGTGTTACAGATCCTCTGAAGAGATGTATCAGCAGGGCAATGTGTACAGCCCCCTTCGTTTCGTTCGTCTGACCCAATCAACTGTGTTGAAATTGTTTAACCAGCCTACTGTTTTGAAGATGGTATCAGTGTTCTGACAAGCACCTAGGATGATGGTCATAGTTATACAGAGTTCACGCAGTTTAGCGATTCACGGATTGTTACCTAGGATCGAGGATTTCGCCCAAGCTTCCCGGATCAGATATGTTGTTGGGGTTCGGTGGCTTCCGTTCACCCAGCCGGCACAAGCGTAGTATGCACGCTATGAATGCAGTGGTGACAGTGCGTGTCAGAAGATAGGTGTTCTCGACTATTTCTGTGAATGGAAAACGGAAAGAAAGAACGGGAGCCGCAGCCCACCAAGCAAGGTTGTACATCGCCAATACTTGCATACAAATAAATCATACCTCGTACACTGTATAAGCGAAAAATGTGCTCCCCAGTTTCACCGCGGCACAGCGAGCACGCCTGGAAGATGATTCAGAAAGAAGGCCGCCAGCTGAAAGTAAGCCAAACTTATATAGCTAATTATTATTACGTACACTGTATAAGCGAAAAATGTGCTCCCCAGTTTCACCGCGGCACAGCGAGCACGCCTGGAAGATGATTCAGAAAGAAGGCCGCCAGCTGAAAGTAAGCCAAACTTATATAGCTATTTATATTATTATTATTTATAATTTTTATCGTTACATGAACGACTATATGTTCTAGATGCCATCTTGTGCATTTTAATTATAATCTAATCTAACGTAATTTAATATTTTACGTGGTACCTATGGTACATTATTAGTAGTATTGTATTATTATACTAGAACACAACCATTAAATTAAATTAACCTGTTCTATGGTGCACCTGTAATTTTTCTTTAGTAAGCGAATTTTTGCATGTGACTACCAGTTTCCGAGCTGGAGCACAAAATCAAGGTAAAACGGATTTTTTGTTCCACGGTGTTCTCGAAGTGAGATAAACTTCACAGAATTTCCAACGCAGATCCTACTCAGGTCGATATCCATATAGCGCTTGGATCCACCACGATTGCCACGCGTACAAAAATACGGAAGTAGGCACCACTCTATTGCAAATCAATTTGGCTTTCACGAGACACTCAACTGAATCTCGTGGAAACAAAACTGATTTGCAAATGAGTGTATTTCTCGAAAACAGTCCAATTTGGGTTCAAGTAGAACATAAGGTTGACGAAAACTTGGGGATTGCGGCTACCTGATGAGCCTCAAGAAATGCGAAACCGGTCTTAGGCTGTCGAGGAGTTTTCAGCAGCCTTGTGAGTAGGCACCACCCTGTTTTGGAGACCCTGGTCCTTTCTGCGGTGTTGTACACGCAGTTAACCTGATGCACATGCAGCGTTGATGCGGATGCAAACCTCTGAAAATGGCCCCCCATTCTCAGTCGTGCGCGGTCAGTCAGGTCATACTACAGCATTTTCAGATACATGCATGTGAATTAATCATCCTGTGAGAGACAGTTCCCATTAGAAAACACCATGTCACTAAGCTCTACAAAATCATAAAGCGCAACGAAACTGCCGGAAGATATGGCAATCTACTCCCCTCCTCCATGATAGCAACGCGTTGTTACTGACCCTTTTTATGATAACAATGTGTATTCCCAACTGGTGGGTGGCGTACCGTCAGGCGACCGAACGGTGAGCACGTACCTTTGTGAGCGACTATCCGCGGGCTCAAATAAGCATGGCGGACAAACCTGACGGCCACCGAGAGCTCCTCATGTTCATAACCGCGTGGCTGTCAGAAAAATTTTGGCTGCACCTCGAAGGACCTATCTGTAGGCACACCGGTGCCCACAGCACGTCATCAAAATTACCGTCCAGTATCTTGCAAACAGAGCTCCATCCATCTGAGTGCCACATTATTGTCAGCTTCCTGGCAATTTGGCGTTTTGATTCGTCCGTACTTGGAGATCATCCTCACCACTTTAGAGAGCTCAGGCTGGCAAATGGCAGCAGATGCCTCTCGCATTCCATGTCCCCATCCGACCCATTCCCTGCACCTGACTTCCATACAACAGAGCAACCAATGAGTCTGCCTAGTTTCAACTTAAACCACCTTTTTGAGACAAAACTCGCCATGTGCCTCAATTCGAATTACTCCATCTCCACCTCCGCTTTTGTGTGCCATGATCCGCATAATGCTCCCAACTGCAAGTATTTACAAGCGGAGTAAAGCTTTCTACGCCAAAATGTTGCATTTTGTTGCGTGTGTGCTCGGACCGAAAACCGTCCTGATCTACATTCATATTTTTGCAGCTCAACGAATTCAATTGTCCACTGAAGTAACTGTTCCTCTGGCTGAAGTCTTGTGGGATGACTTCCCAGCATCACTGAGACCCTACGATGCCTAAATAGGGCTAAAAAGTTTGGACCGACACTCTAAACTCAACTACCCGATTATTTCAATCCATCAAGGACACGTCATAGCTTTCGGAAGTTCAACTCCATTGTGCCATTACTGAGCGCCCCAATTTTGCTAGTTGACTCCTGCCATCTATCCAACCACCCAAGGTCACTCATGGCCAACAATGGTTTTCAGTTTTGAATCATGCCAGCCACCACTGTCTTTGGACTAATCGGACCTCATGTCCATTGTTCCCTAGAAGTTGGGATAGAAACCTATTATTACCATTATTTCGTCGGATATTTCCCACTGCTTATGACATCGTCCCCTTTCTCGTGCAATCTGCACTGCGCACGGATCCCCAAATCATGCTTCCTTCTGACACTAAACGTATGATCATGCCAGACGGTATGTCACCCACAATTTGGGAATAAACATTATTATTATCGTTATTATTATTATCCCGCCTTACGTTCTGCACAATCGGCATTCTAAATCAAGACACACTATTCAAAGGGACTATGAGGCTCTTTTTCGTAACCAGTCACCCTCATGCTCCCGGGTTTCTCGTGTTCCATTTTGCGAGGCTCTATCCCCTCTCACCAACACCCACAAATTTCTGGACGTTGTGGTGTTATCCCACATTCCCGGTGAGCACTGCACCACGTAACGGAGGCCTGCAACAGATATAGCTATCCATGATCCATGTTTTCCAAACTCACGAACCAACTGTTGTGTTGCTAGCTATTTATTCGGTACGTCATCACTTCAAAAGCAATGCGTCTTAACCAACCCAAAGATAGCAACACCCTCCCGATTTTTACTCCACTTACGTTGTGCCCGCGAATTCCGCTTCATACAATTCCGTTGTATGGAATCATCAGCTAACAGCACCCTAAGGCTTCCCAAGGGATCTTCAAACATGGCTTTCAGTTTTTAGGTACCATTTGAGGTAATACATGCATCCAGTTATTGGAATAAGGGTGATTCTACGGGCGATACCGGCTTACAGCCACTGTCAAATGTTTACTGTCATAGTATGGTTAAGTGAAACTAGTTCTACAGAGCACCAGGCACTAAAAGCGATTTTCAGCGCAGAAAAAACGCCGCTGGCTACTCGCACAATGGGAATGATTTCTCGAAATCTACGGCATTTTCAGGCTTGCCACTTCATAGCGTAGAGTTTCTATGTATAATGTATATGTTCCTGTATTATTAAAATTATTTACTATGACGAGTTGTTTAAGTGAGCGAACGCTCAATGTCGATAAACACCACCGACTGTAAATACGTTGCCTGACTCGCTGACTCGCTTGCAATAAACGTTACTTTTAAATAGTTTTCCACCGGAAAAAATTTCCAGAACATTCTGGAATCTAAATGGCCTTCGGAGATGCGGAATATGCGTAGGTGCATTCGTGCAAACAAATATTTTGGTCGATGGTTCCTGTTACCAGTTAAAATTCCGTAGTCCACGTTAATTATATGCTAAATTTCGGGCACGTTCGCACGTTTGCTGGCAAGAAGCAGAGTTTTCCATTATAGGTTGCGAATTATGCTAGGAAGACCTCGAGGTTTATCGATCAGGAACATGGAACATACGTCGATCACACCGGACATCTGAACGAACCTAACTGACGCACACGACTAGCATGTGGCTAGGGGTACACGATGCCCATCCATCCATCTTTAACGGAGAAGAGCCTCAAAATGTACTTCTTGAAATGTTGAGATATATTGGTCGTTTACACATGTCCTTCTGGGAGGCGCATTTTCTTCGTGAGGAGTGTTCATTTCGCCATTGAAGCCCTGAAATTAGAGGAATATATAGTTCAGGTTATCGAAATATCCCCACAAGACGGGCGGCCGACAAACTGGTAAAGATACCCCAAAATTCACTCCAGCGACTATGTTCTCGTAGATGCCTGTTCACACAATACCATCTTCAGCGGTTATTTCGCATGCCTGTTTACTGCACCTCTCAAGAAATACGAGACTTACATAAAATGCATAGGGCCTCATTAACAGACAAACTTTTCGGAGCCGATGGGTTACATTCAGTCATCTTCGTCTCTTTCATCTAGCTGCTGCTCTACAGCGTTAGTCATAGTTGTCAGACATTTACTCACGGCTGTCGAGTGGTTCTTCTCTGGACCCGGATATACAGACACACAGACCTCCGGGATACACTGTGCTGGAGCTCTGCGCTTCGGTCCAGATCAACATCATAAGACGCCCCCTCTGCGGGCCGGGTGGTAAGCACACCCCTGCGTTTTCTGGATGGGCCCGGAGCTAAGAACCAAAGTAATTTATTTTCATGTGGACTCACCTTTGAGACAAGCCTGAAGAGTACCACCACACAGCAGGCAAGGTTCACCATCACAACAGTCGGCGTGATATGCACACCAGCCGTCACTGGTATTGGTCGGCCGGTCACAGAGTACGCAAAAGCCCAAGTCAGCGTTCCCAGATCACCCTCTGGGTTGAGGTGCAGTATCCTCGACCACCAACGGTGGGTCATCGGTTGCAGACTTTAAGACTTGACGCAGCGGGATTTGTCCCTGAACAATCAACCGCTTAAAGATGGCTCTGGTCTTCCAGGGCTCCAGCTTCTGAAGCTTATCCACCACTCGGTTCAGTTGTTTACGAAGGCCATCGAAAGCTGTCGGTGGTGGTTTGGGAACCAGTGTAAGGGGTACACCATTTTTCCGAAAGGTTGTAATCCGGCAGCCATCGTTGGTGGATTGGGAAGCAAGCTAAGTAAAAGTCAATGAAGAATAGTTCTTGCTACTCGAAAGGGCCGATCTCGGAATACAGAGAACAGGTGTATGCAGGGAAACCAAACTGCCTACTCGAAGGTGTATGTGCATTCTACAGCACGTGTCAACAGTCTGGAAGCATCCGGGTGTTTGCACCACAAACTATAAGTTAGTTTACGTAGCTCGACCTCACCTCGTTTGTTGCAAAACTTTCATACGGTAGCCGCGGCGGTCGCGGATCCAAGTGCCTCAAAACGAGAGAGCCTGTCTATGTCGTCATTCAACAGACCACGTTTAGAACGTAGGCGTCACCCTCTAGGATTTACCGCCTGTCGCAGTGATACGCAGTATGCATCTCGAACTCTCGCATGAGCCACTCGGCTTGCCGGGACACGTATTGAATTGCATCCCCCAACGTGTCGGAGTGGTGCATCCGGTCTTCAAGGCGGCCGTTCGCGTCCCCAATCGGTTTTTGGTCACATTACCGAAATGAACAATTTCGGACTGTGCGTGTATGGCCTATTTTCGGATGATGCGCAACAAGCGAGCCGTAAGGTGGGAAAGAAATCGAGGATCGGTGCTGCGCAGAAGCTGCAGGTCTTGCCGGAATCTGTGTGCTTGCAATACGATGAACAAAAAACCTAGCATACATCGTTTCCAGCGAGCCATGCGGTGAAACCTGTGTCGGCTATTCGCAGAATGTGTCCATGACCAAAAACACACGGATGTTAAATGATACATACGCGCTTCCTGATGGCTTCGCGGGCATGAGAGTAGCAGAGCCTAACGTCACAGCCAAACACGACTCTTGGTGCACGCACTTGCGCCGCCAGCTTGTCAATTACGAAGGTCTTCACCGGATAGTTTTCGCTCACCATTTCTTTTAATAAGCCGAACAGTTTACGCATGGGGGCAAACTGCTCGCTCTCTACGAATGCGTGCATACCCGCACGCCGGATTTTCATGCCGTCCGTTATCAGGAAGGTGTAAAGCTCACATCTACATGCTGAATATTAGGTGCTGTAACGACCGTTTCAAATTCTTGAGCAACAAGCACCAAAGTTAGCAGTCAAACCGGCAAAACTCCGAACGAATGGCTACGCAAATGTGCTGAACTATAAAAATGAAAGTAGTTACATGCAATACAAAATTACAAACCTCAACGGTTTCCGACAAACGGTGAGGTATTCCAAAAGGCAAGCAAAGCCAATATGGATCAACAGTCAACGCGTGATCGAAGGCGGGCCGCAAACTCGTGCATTAAAACAAATTTACAGTTAACCAAGATTTTGTTACAAAACAGTATAACCGAAGCGGTAAAGGCGATTTGCACGGTAGGGAAAACGGAAAATATAAATTTCCTGTGAAACTAAAGATAGGATTCAACTACACCGGTCCAAAAGTGGCGGTTCATTTGAATTGTTGACCGGGGAGGCAGTCATTCAAGATGGGAGGCAATTTTAAATATATACGAAGTTGCAACGGGTGCTTCAAAAAAACTTACCCAAGGCGGCATGCGTTCCGTCTACATCTGGAAAGTGTCGGAAAAACGCTATCAGCTTTCATCGGGAGAAGCATATGTGGCTATTGTGACCTTACTCTGACACAAGGAGGCGTCCGGTCTCCCGAAGTTTTTCCAGGACCAAAGGCATATCATTTGCCACATTAAAAATATGCGGCTCCTGGTAAACATATCCGGCCGAAACTTCCGGCGGTAGTTGTTTAGATCCTTAGTGGAGAGAATCTTGCTGAATTCATCCGCCACAAACTGCCGCACCTCACATGAGGGCGTTCCATATTTCAGAAGGGCCCTGCAGGTGCCCAAACCGTCTTCGGTTAGCCGTCGATCAACTGGCAGCTTGTTGTACAGAAACTCTGACAACTTGTGGTTGTGTTCAAGAAAATGAAATGTGACTATCAGTTGGTTCCCTCGCTTCCGTAGAAAAAACCGCACCGGACAGCTGGAGCTTCGCGTAGTTTTTTATTATTAATAAATACGCTCGTCTTACTAGCTTCTTCAGATTCCCCGGCTTTCCGTGTGTCTTTGAGAGCGCCTGCTGCATTTGTAGTGAACCCACTCGTAACCAAAACACCGCAGCTGGAGCTTCGCGTAGTTTTTTATTATTAATAAATACGCTCGTCTTACTAGCTTCTTCAGATTCCCCGGCTTTCCGTGTGTCTTTGAGAGCGCCTGCTGCATTTGTAGTGAACCCACTCGTAACGCAAAACACCGTTGGTGCTTCGATTACTGGATTAACGCACAAATACCACAAAGTTATCCTTCTTGTATTGAGTTAATGCCTTCTCAGATGCCGTGAAGGATGGAAACTCAATTGTCCGATTACTTTAGTCCATCAGGAACACGCCGTAACTTTCGAAAATTCAATTCCATTGTGCGAATATCGAGCGCACAGTTGAGACAAAAACAAATCATTGAGATTTGAATTTGGCGGGCAAAAACAAATCGAGGGGGCACACTAAGAGGTATTCTTTCCGGTACATGATAAGAAAAATTAAAATTGTGGAGACTGAGGAACAAAAACAACGGATCTGTTGGGGCAGCATATTTGCCACAATCTAGTCGGTCACTTTGAACTGAAGCCTAACCACCGCTGGGAACTTGCGGCTTTGGGACGTTGTGCCTATGGCCGGATCTCTCTAAAGCCTAGTTAAGGGTGATGAATTACAGGAATTACCAATACGGGTAAGTGGTAGCAGCAATCTCGGCATCACGGTGGACGGTGCAAATGTAGGGGCTCACTAGTTTTGCTACTGGGGTAGAATCGGGAGTAAAGCTTTTTTTGGGAGAGAGCCGGTGCTACAGTACATCACTGAGCACGAACGGCACAGAAAATAGCTGAATGTGTGAGAAGCATATAATGAAAGTCAGCGATTTGTAGAGAGCCGTGAAGAAGGTTTAGCAGTTTAGAACGAACGTGTCCCCAGAAGCTGCTCGGGCCAGGCGAAGAGCTTGTTCGTGGTCGCAGGTGAAGGAACGAGTGGGCGAGAGGAAGTGAACAGTTGCATAAATAATATTAGACTGGGTATGGCAGTTCCTTTCCATCATTGCGCTGAAATACTTCTGTTTTTAAACAGCCCTTGACGGCCCGTTTATGGTGATTGATCTGCGATGTGCTGGTCTGTGAGGAACTGATTGGGCTTTCCAAGGGAAGCCGCCAATGTAAGAACATAGGTATTTTTGGAACGAAAAGGTGTTTACTCGTGTGTGAATCATGGGTCAAGATGAGTAGACGACGACCACACAGGGCGTTTTAATCATGTATTGTCTAAGGTAGAAGCTTGGAAACAATAAGGAATAGGATGAGTCCAGCAAGGCCTCGTGAGTTTTGGGGGGTATCAGATAGAAAAAAGTTCATAAATGGAGAAAAAAGAATAACCTTTACCACAACTAGGGTGGTAACAATAAGTGCATAAGTGAGACAGAACAGATCGCTATAATTACGCAGTGATGTCATCTGGTAAGTGAAATCGAGCACACAAGGAGTGACACGAGTAGAGTTTCCGTGATGGTGGACTAGATTTTCTGGAGGCAATCACGTGAGTTGGATAATACAACAATTCAAGAGGAAAAGTAAATGTAAGAGAAATGGTCGCCGGTCCCCAGAGCGCAGCTATCAGCTTCAATCAACGACCGGTACATGGCCAACCTCTCATGCTAATAGTATGGGGTTGGGACTCTCATTGTACATATTTTTTGTATGTTTTCACTCCCGTTAGCAGCAGGCAGGTGCGTAGTTTTTATTTGATTGACGAGGTGTTTTTTGTTCCGGTGCAACCATTATTACCACTAGGGCAAATACAGCCTTGCACGTTGATGTAAACCGTGGCAACCTAGAGCTATCAAACGCCTGTCTACCTAAAGATTTTCTACGGATGAAAGTAAGTTCCATACCATCTTCAGTTTATGGCGTTGCCAGATGGACAACACAACTTTGAGGGGTCAACCACCAGTGGCAACAAATAGAAAGCGACAGCGCCTTTTTACGGATTTCCTGGATTTAAACACCAGACTCAGAACCACCGCTGGACGACGATTCACGCATGCTACTGGAGAGGTGGCGGGTACACGACCACATTAGGGTGCAACGGGACGGTACGCTCCTCTTTGAAGGCGTCCTCGCATGAGGTTTTCACCTCTCATACATGCTAACAGATCTGCGAGTTTAAAGACCACAAAGCAATCATAAATGCGGCCTGTGAAATAATGAAGTACTCCAGCTGCCAGATCTTTCTTCCGAAAGGAGAAGGTGGGCCAGTGAGTCAGCTCAGTCAATTCGGACGGGCAACAACTAAATAGAGGCTGGTTAAACGGGTCGCGGAAGAGGCAAGTGAAATGGCAGCTACCAATGGGATGATAAGAATGGAATGGTGATATTCATAGTGAAACTAAACTGCGAGTTAGCCTTGGTGTGAACATCCATGTCGAGCAGAGGCCTACTGCGGTGTTGAATGTATGAGTATCCAGTGTGCTGCAGAGCACATAAACAGATGGTCTATTGTGGTAATTAAGTTTCGTACGTATATCGGTACAACCCGACAAACTAGAAATCCAGAATTCAACGAAGAGTGGCAACCAGCACGTATGTATTCGAATTGGCGAATATGTACAGCATATGGAATATTAAAACAAGAGAATAATGAATAGAGCAATGAATAGAGCATCAGTCATGTTCATCACATCCGCCACACCTTGAATGAGCGTGCGGGTGTTTATAGTCCAGTGGTGGTCTTGACCGCAATCTTTCGGATCTTCTCGGAATGGAAACTTCAGAATCTTCACAGGTAGTACGTTCTTCAGATACAGCATTTTGTTCGGATACCACAAGATCATCTACAAAGGACTCATTAGTATTTGAAACAGCAGGAGTGCCGTTAACAGACTGACCTCTGGTATTGAACTCAACCTGGTCAATGTGTCTCCGATGACAAGAGAGATCATCCAAATCGAGAATTGTGACCATTCGTTTGCCATTTGATGAAAGCACTATTCCTGTTGCGGGTCGTAAATCATTACCCTTGAAAAATGTAACATCAGCCGTTTTGGCACAGTCAAGACTTGTACGCAACGAACGAGATTTAAATAGAAGCGCGGGACTCTTCCCAGTAACGGAATGGACGGCGTTCCTGTATTGCATTAGAAAATTATCAATCCCACGGTCCAATTCCACAAAAGTAGTGGGAGAGAGTGAAATAATAGCAGATTTAAGTATTCGGACAAAATTTTCAGCAAGTCCATTCGACTGGGGATGTCGCGGAGCAGTAAACAGATGTCGACAACCAAGACCCTTCAACCATTCCTCGAGGAATTTTGCAGTGAAGTGTGTGCCGTTGTCAGTGACCAAAACAGTTGGTACACCTTCGTGGCTGAATACTTTCCTCAAGGCTTGCTGAGTGAATTCGGCACTTGGAGAAGTAGTTAGAAAAACTTCAGGCCAACGGGAATATGCGTCAATAAGAATTAAAGCATAGTATTTACCAAGAAAAGGACCACAGTAGTCAGCATGAACTCGTTGAAATGCTTCACAAGTAACTGGCCACGGATGCCACTGTGAAGACTTGTTATGAATCTTATGTGCACACTTAACACAATTCTTAGCAGTATGCTTGATATCAGCATCCAGTTCCGGCCACCAGCATGACAAGCGTGCAAGGGATTTCATTTTATCGACACCCAGATGACCAGAGTGTAAATCTGCAAGAACAGCCGCTCGCTGAGTCGGTGGAATGACAACTCTATCCTCAAAACACAGCAAACCATCCGGAGTAACGGACAAGCTTTCGCGGCGACAGTAAAAAGCAGGAAATCGGCGTCGTTCTTGCTGCGTCCAGCCACGTCGCAGTGCAGAGAAAATGGGAGCGAAATATCTTTTAGTGTCAGCAACAAGCACATCCCGCTTGACTGGTAATGGTTGAATCAGTAGACAATCTGAGTTGTTTGAATCAGAGTCACATGATAGAATTCTTGACAAGAAATCGACATGAGGAATCATTTTCGCACTACGATGAACTACTGTGTAGGTGTAAGAACTCAATGCAATAATCCACCGTTGCACCATAGCGGCAGATGACTTCGCCAGAGACTTCGTTGGATGATACAAGAACTTCAAAGCCTCGTGATCAGTAGCAATGGTAAAGTTCAATCCAAAAAGATACTTATGAAGCCGTTTGACAGCCCAATATACAGCAAGTGCTTCTCGTTGAGTCTGAGAATATCCACGTTCGGCTTTTGAAAGTCGACGGGAAATGCAGATCACTGGTCTACCACACTGTTCAAGGATTGCTCCTATTCCAGTGGGAGAAGCATCAGTAATGATCGTCGAATGATGTTTGGCGGAAAATGGCTTCAAAACAGCTGAAGTCTGAAGATAACCAAGCAGTGCACGCAACGCCTTCTCATGGTTGGAAGACCAAGAAAATTGATTGGAAGATATGATATCAAACAGACAACTTGCGTGTTTGGCGAAATTAGGAATGAAACGAGAGTAATACTGAAGTGCTCCTAGAACTGAACGCAGTTCTTGTAGATTGGTCGGTGATGGCGCATTTACTAAAGGGGATAGACGTCTTGTATCAGGTTTAAAACCGCTGCCATCCACAATGTAGCCAAGGCATGAAAATGATGGGACACCAAAAGTGCATTTTTCAGGATGAATAGCTACATTGAACTCAGAAAATCTCTTCAGTAAAGACAACAGACGCATATCATGGGTAGCTTTGTCAGCAGCGTGCACAATGACGTCATCTTGGTACGTCTCAACACCCTCCAAATCTTTTGCAATAGTATTCATAACTTGCTGAAATACAGCTGGTGAAACGTTCAGACCAAAGGGAAGAAAATTGTATCGGAATAACCCAAAGGGTGTGTTGATCACGGTAAGGTTACTGGAGGCTTCGTCCAGTGGTATTTGAAGATAAGCATCTTTTAAATCGATTTTTGAAAACACACTTGAACCTGATAAACGATACAATACATCTTCTGGCTCTTCCGTGGTGCATGTACGTTGTAGTAGCCGCGTATTTAGCGTAAGCCGGTAGTCACCACAAATTCTCGGAGTAATACCATCAGCCTTCAGTGGGGTAACGATCGGAGTTGCCCAATTCGATGACTCAACAGGAGTCAGTATTCCTTTCGCACACATTGAATTTAATGCTTGACGAACAGGCTCGCGTAAACCAAATGGAATAATCCGTCTCTTAAGAAATATAGGCTCTCCTGTAACTTCGAGCCTCATCTTGGGAATTTGCATGCCACCTGTGGCCTTAGAACATTTAAGAATCAGTTGCTTGAGTTCATTCTCATTCGCAGAAGTCAGTAAGGTGATACTGGTTTGCAGTAAGCGTAGAACTTTGAGTCCGACGATCGATGGTCCCGACGTTGATACCAAAAAATTACAATCGATACAGGTACCTTGTAGTAACCTCACAGGGATCGTGCAACTACCAACGAGAGGTACAGAATGTCCAGTGATACCGCGAATGTTAATATCTGTAGGCACTATCACGGCACTGGGGTAGAATGCAGTTAGATCTGATTGTGGAATGATGGACTCAACACTACCAGTATCAACAATAAAGCCATGCTTTTGACCAGAAGCGGATATCAACGTTTTAAAAACATGTGACGAATTTTGGGACAAAACAGATAGAGAAAGAGTAGAAATATCTTCAGATAATGTCTTCACGTCAGTGTTTGGGTCAGAAGTTAAGTGACACACTTTCTTGGACTTACAGACAAGTTGAATGTGTCCTGTTTTACCGCAGCTAAAACACTTGGCTCGTCTGTGGGGGCATGAATATCTGGAATGGTTTCGTCCACAAGACTCGCATTTCCCGAATTTTTGAGCCATCGGATTAGGGTTACGATCTGTGAAGTGACGTGTTGATGGATTTGAGGCACGAGAATCTGTTCGAGGTTTGAATTTGTTGTTCGTCCGCATCCTTGAATTATTTCTTTTAGAATAATTTAACAAGACTGCTTCCTCAGTCTTCGTCACATGCTTCACATCTTCATACTGCTCACATATTTTCCGAATAGTTTGAAATTTCTGATCCGGACAGAGTAACAGCTTCTGCTGTAATTCGGGCAGTTGAATGCCAGCAATGAGTCTATCACGCAGCTGGTCTTCCAGTTGGGCACCATAGTCACATTTGGCTGCCTGTGTCTGCAGCTGTAACACGAAATCACGAACCGACTGAGAATGAGAGCGGGCTAACATATTGAACTTAGCTCTTTCGGCTGCTACGAAGTTAATCGGTTTGAAGTGTTGAAGAACTTTGTTTTTCAATGCAGTGTAAGAAATATCAATTGGAGATTCAGGATATACTAAATTCTTGATCAAAGTATACGCCTCCTTGCCAACGAAATGTAGGAAATATGCAGTGAGTTTCTTATCATCCATATCGGATTTTGTGAGGCACCATATGTCGAATCGTTCCAAATAATCCTCTACGTCACGCGCAGTTGAATTAACATCTAATGGTTCCATTTCGGCAGGCATGATGAATTGTTCCAATCGCGACGCCAAAATGTGGTAATAAAGTTTCGTACGTATATCGGTACAACCCGACAAACTAGAAATCCAGAATTCAGCGAAGAGTGGCAACCAGCACGTATGTATTCGAATTGGCGAATATGTACATATGGAATATTAAAACAAGAGAATAATGAATAGAGCAATGAATAGAGCATCAGTCATGTTCATCACATCTATATATATTTTCGGTGCATAATATGCTCTGTTATTGAATAACTGAATTCGGTTTGGTTTGTGTTGGGGGCGGAAAATGCGAAGTAACAAAAAAGGCCTGTCTGAGGGCATGGGACGGTGACTCGAAAAAGTGGGAAGCTATGAGTCGTTGTAACTTACAACTATTGTAGTAAGACGATACCGTCCGATTTAGAAAGCCACAATGAACACCCAGATGGAGTTATTAAGGACTGGCGATATGCGGTCGATGCAAAACTGGCCATATTTGAATATGAGAGGCGCTGGTTAGCAAACTTTTCCGTGACTAAAATTATATCCTTTTATTAGACACCCATTAAGTTGGGTAGAAACATCATAAGTGCTAGAAGACGGTTCCGAAATCGTGAGTGACGAGTGCGTTACCCAGTAGGCAGCGCGTGTGAAAAAGTTGGTTGGCTAGCACGCATTCAAGGAGAAACGATCATATGCACTGAGGCGTGCTAATTCGAAAAATAGGGTCGGAGAGCCTTTGAAGAACGCCTTTATGACGGACCGGTAATCTTCATTCTGGAATTGGACAAAGACGTTGAAAAGAAAGGTAAATAAATGGTTACAAGCTACACAGAAAAGCGGCATATCGACTGAGAATATAAATCAATCCTGATATTACTGCACAGGCAGATAGAGAGGCTGAATAATTCCGAAAGTTCATCATGTCTCGAGGAAGCAGTAGTTCGAAGCATGCAGTGACAAGAGATCGTAGAAAGACGAGGTAACCTCAGCGTGGTGAATTAAAGACCTAAAAAGGCTTAGAAGCCCTGCAAGGCGAATTGCCTCAGAGGTACCACATCAAATGGACTAAGTGTGTACTCGTCACCCTCCAAATAAAACAGAGTTTTACTCCGCAACGCACCAAAAGGTTTTTGTGACTGAACGATTATCACTGTTACTGTCTTAAGTTACAACAAGAGCAAACGGCACAGCCGTCCAACAAAAGCTGCCCCTTATTTTACTGCACGGGTTAGAGAAGTTCATTAGGAGGAGGGTGTGCAGGTGAAAGAATAGCTGAAAACTCTGCAGCTGTTCGCATCTTCGGTCACGGGAGGTGCAGAAGGGGCGGGCATTGTGCGAAAAGAGTCGGTGAACGTTTGGACCCGGTAGCGACCGGAAAGTTCGATCAGGTTGTACTTAGGTGGACGAGCAGGCAAGGCGCATTGGGAGTTTGGATTGTGCAAATTCAAAGCCGCGATTGGTGCACTATTGGCAACGCGTCACCTGAACGTGTGTTGAGGGGTAGTTGTTCCAGAAGGATGCAGTGGAGTAAACTTTGTTGCCATCAGCAAGATCATCATCATGCTGCGGCACAGATCGTTGGAGGGTGGCTATCTTATTCACCTGTGTATTCGGATAGTTCAGACATGACTTAGAAGTGAAAATAGCGCAAACCATGAGTGGGCTGGGGCCAGAACCTACATGACAGACATGGAGAATAGACCCAGGGTATAGTGAAAGGGGGGAAGGTGGTATGCCTGAAATGCGGATACGTTTCTAACCATAACTGCTGACGAAGATCACGAAATAGTTCTCGTAATTGCAAGCACCACAGCTGACAAGTGGTGGCCAAGAACGGATCCACTATTTGATGATAGCGCCACTTCGAAGCAGCATGGGATGATTCCACACCATGATGAGGATGATGGAACTGCTGTTACTACATAGCCAAAGAGTACAAGTGTTAGGAAGCAGAAGTGGAGTGAAATTATATTTTATTACCCCAGATGACCAAGGTTGACACCAAGTGCCCGGCATCTCACTACGGCTGCATCCACGAGCATATATTTGAAGGCTGATTAGGCCCTTGAGTTATGAAATCAAGTCTATAACACTTGATCGTACAAATGCCTTGTAGGCGCCTCTCTCCAAATTAAACTTCGCTGAGTCCGACACCACTGTACTCGTGAGTCTTCAAATGTCCACAATGAGACGAAATAATCAAGAATTAAGTTTTGAATTTATAACAATCAGACGTCTGAACAACCCTACCGAACATATAAACGATGCCAAACTAAATATACGAGTTTCGTTCAAGTAGCATCATCGAGTTGAACTGTTTTTCTGAACGAAACGGTGGCCAACCGCTGCGGTTATACTAACCAGTTTAGTAAAAAAACACTTCATCAGTGGTGTTTTATAATTTTCAAGCGCGAGCATGGTGCAGCGGCAAAGAAAACAGTTATGTTTATAAAATGTCCTCCCCAGCCAATGGATTAGGCTATCATGCATAACTGAGGCCTCAATCAGCGCCGCACATGAACGGAAGGCCAAGCAGTCACGATAGATACCCGAAATGGGATATATGCCTTACGGGTACTACGATAAGAGGCAATGCTTGGCTCTGTGTTCCGGGAATGCCGGTGGACCTTATGGCGTAATCCAGGCAAGTGACGTCGTTCTTAACAATGGGAAGAACATCTCGCTGGAATGTTGGTAGTTCACATGCGGATATCTGGAAACGCCGCGTTATATTGCACCTGCTACACCAGCGAACATGGTTACAACGTCTAAAGCTCTTCTTCGTAAAATTGAATGGGCATGGACGGTTACATCGTGGACCTTTTAGAGTTTAACCGCTTTTTGGACGCCACTTACACGTCATTCCGAGCGAAGTGTGATTTTATCGTCCAACCACTGGATCACCATCCGTAAAACTGTCAAGACACCGATATTAGGTGATGCAATGCTGAAGTTTTAAAATTCGGGTCCTACCCAATTCAAGCAAGCTGCTTGGCCTGGAAGTCCGCACCCGTGGCCACCTAGGGCCGACCACAAAGTTGGGACACTCAAACCAATCCTCGCACAGCGCTGAGTTTCAAAAGTTCAGTCCTTTCGCCCTTGCCTTAGCCCATGGCTGGTCCTCGGCACATCCAGTTGACCGACTTGGTGTTCGGACAACCTTTGTATGGCGTTTGAAAATGCAATAGTTTGGTAACTTGTGCGATTCTGGTTGGCTGCCAACGAATGGGACACATCTGCGAATGGTCGCAATATTTAGGCCATTCACTATTCTCAAAACAGTGCATACATCCTGCGACGGCGAATTAGGGGCACTCCCAACTCGACAGGCCCCTTACCCACCATAGCGACAGCAGGCTCTGGCCATTTGCGAACTCCAAACCAATGGTCTGACTAGACGAAAATTCAGAGGACAAAAGCTCGCTACTAAATGGTTCTAAGAAAGTCCTCGAACAAGTACGCCCCTCTAGAGAGCAGAAAGGCACAGTTGTACGGCATTGGAGCCACCGCTAACTATCACTGATTGCCTTATTAGTATCCTGCAGTCTGGCCACCAAAACCTTCACGTGTAGTGAAAACAAGGTCCACCAAACAGCTGGCCCCTTTGGACGGCGTTGGGTCTCCACCGTGTTCGGCCTATCGGAAGTATGCATAGGGTGTGTGAATAATCCATCACTCTATATCTGCACCAAGACCATACAAATGTGAACCAGTCGTGAAGCCACGGTGCAGAATAAATGGAAAGACTCGATCCACTGAAAAATAGCTCCCGAAAAACGTCTCAACTCTCAGTAGCTTCTCTGAACGGTTCCTGGACAGTGCCGTTCATTCTCATGGGACAGTGACACATGCAACGAAGAATCTCTCTCTGAATTTCAGTGGTGATCGGTTGGCTCAGGTCATCAGATGGGCATCGATTAATCTAACGGGGCGTAGCCGCGCCTATCCCAGACTACTGAAATACTGGTTCTACAGGGTCGCGGGCCGTCCACCGCCTAAGCACTTCACAATTTCACTTGCATCGGAATACATATCAAGGTACTTGCTTCGAACTCCAATGAAGCTGCTTCATAATACGCTAACATGTAAACATTCTTTCTGTTGATAGGATCAGCGACGATCGATCCTACCATTTGATTGTTCATTCATGGTTATGTCCCCCAAGTTCCAACAAACAGATAAGCACACGTAGTAATCATTGACATTCTGTGACTCACAAAAAAGCCACAGTTAGAGGTTAAAAAATCAACTGAGCTATACAAAGTGTTCCGTACGAGCGCCACCAAAACCACAGAAGCCTCATATCGTTCGCTGATCCAACCCCTCAGGTGGCGGTTAGAAGTTCAACGAGCTTGCAACTTGCGTTCCAGAGTTATAAAAAACGAACCACATTTCAGAGTACCACCACTAGCAACATTGGAAATTCTTGAATTTTTTAGCAGCAGCCTTGTCTCCACCATCGCAATCGATCCTAATATTTGATTGTTCATTCATGGTTATGTCCCCCAAGTTCCAACAAACAGATAAGCACACGTAGTAATCATTGACATTCTGTGACTCACAAAAAAGCCACAGTTAGAGGTTAAAAAATCAACTGAGCTATACAAAGTGTTCCGTACGAGCGCCACCAAAACCACAGAAGCCTCATATCGTTCGCTGATCCAACCCCTCAGGTGGCGGTTAGAAGTTCAACGAGCTTGCAACTTGCGTTCCAGAGTTATAAAAAACGAACCACATTTCAGAGTACCACCACTAGCAACATTGGAAATTCTTGAATTTTTTAGCAGCAGCCTTGTCTCCACCATCGCATAGATTTGACTTTGTAATGGAGGCCACCTAATACACCATACTACCTAAATTATGAAGGCCATTTGGAAGGTTCAAGTGGTGGACCTACAATGCGCTGCAGACTTGAACTGAGTCTGAATACCAGAGAAGTGTTTGGGATATATCTTGTAATCATAAAATATTCTACTGACCAAAGGACTCTTAGCAACCATCAGGCACCGCGTACATCCATGCTCAGTTCTTCAAGAAGCCAGGATAGAGCGATTCACGGCAGCATACCGATATCGGAAGCTGCGTCGAATACGCCTTAACCAATGGTGCTGCAGTGTACAGTTGAGAGGAACTCCTCGTTTCACAAAGGCTATCCCTTAAATGAACCTTGATGCAAACGTCACAGAGCGATAAGTTATGTCCTATTCCCAGTCCGATCTCTTATCAACCAGCGGAATAAGCCATCAGAAGGGAAGAAAAAACGGGTAAGGTGTATTTACATGGGTTTGGTTGCAACTAGGCATTCATCATTGTTTCGTAATGGTTGAGTCCATTAGATCATTCAGATCCCATAATGCAGACGTCAATGTTTTCTGAATGGTTTTCAATTCAGCGGTCACCTCCAAACATCGTTTGATCGCGTGTTCTCGTGCATCTAACAATGATTTTGAATCCGAACGTGGAAAGTTATCATAGTTGGGTGCACCGCAGTCCGTATATGGAATCAAAGTGACTGGATCGGTTATCGGTAGTTTGTCGCACTCTTCCTTCACGATCATAAAGGTCTGCGAAATGCAAAGGGTATTAACACCACTATTAGTGACAAGGGCAATACAAAAGATACACACTGATACTCGACCGAATGTCGTTCAAAAGTCTGGAATAGTCAAGCGCTTAGTACGGATGTGCAGTTTACAACTGACTGACGTAAACGCTAAATATCCCGAGCTGCTCCATTCGGCTTGGGTTATTCGGTAATCGTACCAGAAAATCAGCCATCGGCCCTATGACGATATAAACTGGCTCGATATGACCGAGCCGGGATTCTCGTAAGGAGTTTCGATAAATCGACCTTAATAAGACCAACGGAAACAGCTAGATTATGATCCCGCGCAACCAAATCGTTATTTTCACGAAGCGCATTTGCGATATCCAGGTGATATAATTTGCTTCACCTCACCTTAAATCTGTCCTTGTGAACTTTTCTTATTGCAAGTGGTCACGAACAGATCGATGCATCCAGTTGTACAAGAGGAGAATGCCCATAGGGCTTCCTGAGGAGTCAACGCGTGGCGTTCACAGGGCAGTGGCTCACGAATTACTTTTTACTGTGCCTGTAGGGGTAAAGCGTAATAAGGGCAAGATCAGTTCAGCGGCTTCGAGAGATTCCAACTTAAATTTTGAACTTTGCTTGACTAGTTGCCGGACTTGGGAAGGCGCAGAAGGGGGGAAGATGTTTGTCATTTTTCACCTTCTTCCTTTGCCGTACCCTGTGACAGCTGAGGCAGGTACGTCAGCACAAATAAACCCAATAAACTTCCGGGTGAGGAACAATTATTGAAGGCCGAAATTTCCTTTTATTTCACCAAAAGCAAGAAGCATTCGAATGAACGAAGGTAATCAAGATACACCATATCTTCCAGATGACTGGATTTTCGTTCGTCAGGTCTTCCATTAGATCGGTTAGGTTGTAAAGGTGGGCTTAATTGGTATAGCAACGCAACTGAAGGACTGATATCCGGTGCTGATTGGCTGGTCAACGGTAGTTGGACCAACAAACCACCATAGATGGTTTGTGCGGGGCTGAATGTGCTGTTAAGCACAAGCACTAGATGCCGAAGCAATGAGATCGACGGAATCCGTATGAACAAAAAAGACGTAAGACACGATATGAACCTGTTACCCCTCGTCTTCCGCTTACTCAACTACAAGTCTCATACATCGGATAAAAATGAACTAGGTGCCAACTTTTAAGCGTCCCCAATGGTAGATAACATCAGTCACTATAGGCGAGTCACGCCTAGGACAAATGCAACATGTTACACGCGAAACCTCGTATAAGGTTATCGTTACACGGAGAGACGTTGACTCGGCTTATCTTCTTAGACACCTGCATGATCGCCTATGCACAAGCATCTAATAGGGCGAAATACGTATTGCGGTACAAAAACACGCGCCCGCACTTCTAGTTTTCGATAACTGGGATTCAGAACTGATCAAACAATTCACCTCCACCGAATCGATGTTTGCAGAAGCTTGTCTAGTGGTGTATAGTTACGCAAGGCGAGTTAACTCATACCCCCCATTTGGATTCGCTTCGAGCTTCATGTAACGCTCACATGACCCTAGGGTCACAGAGTGCATTTCAAAGACGGTGCCCTGATGGTGATTTGGTTGTTTAGTGTGCCTAATCGTACATTCGACTTCGTGTCGGAGATCGCTTGTACTTAATAACCGTGACCACCTCATCACGTTGATTTGCTCAGACTGCGCTTAAACTTTGCGTTACAAAATTCACTTAAGTGTGTTATCGAATACACTGAATTCCTTGGTTCCTCTAGATAATCTGGATGTCAAAAAACAACAAACACGGTTTAAAGCTGTGTTATCTGGGGTGAAGTTCCGCTCTCTCTAACAGGGGATGAAATCAAATGTCAAGTTAACAACCGAAGGCCGGGCTTGGAACCTTACTCCGCAACATCAACCCGGAGTTGCCACTTTTCAGAGAGGCTATGCTGATTAATCAAAGTCGATCCAGCTTGTGTGCACGAAACATCATTACACGAGCTATCCGCTTGACTTGGACCTGATTGGTTTACGATACTACTAGCTCCGTCCCACTGTTTTGTGGCTACTTATCTCTACTCGCGAAGTAAAACTGATGCTTTTTTATTATTGTATTTGTAGAAGTAAAAACGAAATTTCAAATCACGCGGCCTTTGTCTTTTCACTGTATTATTCAAATGGATAAATTACTTTAAAGTTCCTGAAAGTTGCTCTGATGACAGTGTAGATATATCGCACACTGATTTATAAACCAGCGAAATCCGGTACCCACCGCAAAAATGTGTTACTGATATCGCTGTCAGAACACTTGCGCCCCTTTTGGTGTGACTTTTTCTCGAACACCGGGCACATGTACGAGAGCAACGGGGGTTACCCCTGTAACAGGCTGAATGAAGCAAATGTTTCCTTGGTGACGGAAGTTAGAACATCGACTGAAGTAGTCTTCTACTCCCGAACTGCGTTTAGTTCAATTAGCCGCGGGTCGCTTTGGACAATCCTCCCAGCACACAGTTTATAAACGGTTGCATGAAAGATGTAGAATGTGTGTGTGTGTGAATAAACGGTTGTAGAGCTGCCTGGTTTCTTGCTACACTATAACATGGCGTAAGAGTTCGGATTAATAGGCTGGGTCTGCACAATGGGCAATACAGGCTGACTATCTCCTTCTCGAATCAGTGTCATCTTCGTGACGTATACAACTATTGTGATATCCCATATAAACTAGAAATGGGATGCGATCAACTGCAATTTCAGCTAAATTGGTAAACGCCAAATAAACATCACCATCTATTTTCATCGCCGTAGAACATATCAGCTACACCGGTGCTGGTTTAAACAGCCAAAACGTCTCCAAGTAGTCGGCTGGTATAAGGAGCTGGTGAAATAGAGTAGGCGAGTTAGTGATCGTGCAAACAACTTACTCTACTGCAGTTGGCACCGTGAATCGCATTTATCTACGCGAGATGAGCAATGCTGATAGTTGCATAGACTGTCGCTCTTTGTACACCTGTATATATACTTTGTAAAACAAGCACACCGGTGCTGGTTTAAACAGCCAAAACGTCTCCAAGTAGTCGGCTGGTATAAGGAGCTGGTGAAATAGAGTAGGCGAGTTAGTGATCGTGCAAACAACTTACTCTACTGCAGTTGGCACCGTGAATCGCATTTATCTACGCGAGATGAGCAATGCTGATAGCTGCATAGACTGTCGCTCTTTGTACACCTCTATATATACTTTGTTAAAACAAGCGAATGCTTGGCACCCTGACGAAACCTTTTTACTTCCGGGGCCTGCAGAAACCCTTGGGGTATGTTACAATTTTGGTAAGAATCGAGTTTTGATCTAGCGACCTGATAACAACAGCTCAGCATTTGGGAACGGATACCGAAAACAGTCCTTAAGAATCAGGAAGTGTAACGTCACTGACACTAATAACAACGAGGGATTAGTTTGCAATTTCTCTTGGAATTTAGGCACTGCAGTGACTGCCATCGGACTGGAAAGTCTCAGCATATGTACCTATTACGACTTATAGCCCCCTTTCTTACCATCAGTCACGTCTCGTCTCCATAAACAGGTAGTATGAATCCTCTCCAGAACCTTTGCTCGTGATCGAGGCACAATCGGCGGAACTTGAATCCAATGCATTCCCCCCTTTGGTCCGAACTAACCAGAACAATAACATCAGGATAAAAGAACACTGTTTAAACGAAAGTTGTGTGAGTTCAAACTCCCACAGCCAAGGTCACAGTCACAGAAAGACTGGGAAACAAGGTGCCAGCTTGATGTTGAAAGTCCACTTGAATGACCTTACTTCGATGAAACGTGAGGAACACGATTCGGAACATTAACAAGAGCAGTTAAGGCGCATAAATGCGCGTCGTTTTATCATGAAATTACGAAATTTAGGTGAAAAGGTTGCGCCACTTGAAAATAAATGTAGAGACCAGAAACTGTTTCCGACTATATTACAGTTTTTAGATGAAATTCCCGTCATAAAAATCTTCGAACGACCAGATCACTTCGTCTTTAGAATGTTGTTTGCCAAGTGATTTATCGTAAGGGATGAGCCCGTATACATTTCTGTAGGGAACTACTAACAACCCTAGTGAAAACTCCTCGACAGCCCACGACCCGTTTCACCCTTAATGGTGTCCATCAGGTAGGGGGATTACTCGAGACTCCCTTGACCTTGTGTTCTACTTGAACCCAAATAGGACCAATTTCGATAAATACACTCATTTGCAAATCAATCCAGTTTTCACAGGAATTCAACTGAATCTCTCCTTCAACTGGATGTGCTGCACAAAGGCTGCCTCACATTTCAGTTGGTACTGTATTCGAGATATCACAGCATATTTTCATGAATGAAACTACTCACAAGGTTGGTGAAAACTCTTCGACAGCGCGCGATCGGTTTCGCCCAGAACATTCACAGATTCAATCGAGTGCATTTGTCGGGACCTGTAAACAGTCGCTATTTTTCTGAGTTTAGTCCACCTCTACGAGTCAGTCAAGCTTGAGAACAGATGAATCCCAGAAGAATCGTTCGCAAAAAACACTGCGTCACTTTAATCCGGACAGATGTTCACATTTGTCGTTAGATGATGGCTGAAACAGGCGGTTTCGTACTTCCAGCCTAGCCAACGTAATACACAAAACAGAGGGCGAATTGAAAAATCGAAAGAGAACGCAAGTGTTTAAACCTCTGGATTACTGGCTGTGAAACAAAGAAATGTGAAGCCACAGTGTCACGTAGCAACAACAACCATTAGAGGTAAGCAATTCAAACAACAACGTGTCCACATAAGCCACCTCGTTCGGAGACTGGAAATGAGCGTATCTTTGTGTCAGCATTTCCATGACGTAGGCTCACACCCTTGGAGACAGGACAACAATAAAATAAATTCTCAGTCTTCGACTCGCTGACAGCAAGTGTTACGGAACTTACTGTAGAGTGTACACCCTAGCAAGCCTAATGCAAGAAGCCTCAACGACGTCGTGCGAATATTTCGAATTCTGATAGTCGCGAATCAGTGGTTTCTCGAACGCCACTGACAGAGTAACTCATAAATGCGGCTGATTCACAAGTGTACTTTCGCGGAGGCTGTACAGAATCCACTAACCCAGCTAGCCAATACTACAGTAGCTATCACTCCTTTCCCCATCAAGCCACTGCAGTCGCATGAATAGCTCAACTAGAGGGGTTGTAAGGTTGCACTTGGTTCACATATACCGCCGACTGGTTATCTACCATTTATCACCGGAAAGGCGGAATAAATTGCGATGATAGGCGCCAATCATTATTTTGGTAAAAAGAAAACAATTTAAACTAAAATGTGCGCATCTCGAAACGATACAAACTGAATAGTTAAGGGTATGAGATATGCTGTTATGGACGATTCATCTGTCTCAACAGAATGTCAAAAACTCGGCACCACCTCCGATATTTTTGTTTGAAAGGAATATTCGCCAAGTTATTTCTTAATCATTTCACAGGAAGATGTGGAAATCAATGAAATAAGAACTTCAGTTGAGAAGCGCAGACAAAATTTTCTGAAAAAAGCAATAACCGCTTTGATAAAGAGCGTTGAAAATTACGAACGACTAGACAGTTCAAAACGAATTCACCTTCCCGAAGCATGTGTGAATGAATCAAGTCGAGATGCATTTCTGATCTCAGGTCTCCAGGTTGGCAGACCGGGCCAAACCCCATGAGTATCGAACTTTTCAAAACATTGTTGGCAACTTCTACGGCATCCCGTGTATTCAACATGGCACCATTTGGGCCAACAAGCTTCTCATTTAACGAAGCTTCCGCAAAGTTGAGGTCCAAACTATGGATTGGCAACTGCGACAAACTTCCGTCGCCATGCCATATCTTTCGCAGACTAACAACATTGTGTGCAACCATTAGCCTGAACTGCCTGTGTCGCGCACTAATGGAATGACTAAACTGACATGGGTGGTCCAATCGGGAGCTCGTAGTAGGGTTTCTACCTAGAGAAAGCAATGTCCTCAGCATCCAAAGGACAAAGATTCCAACGCGATAGAAAAAAGTTCTCTCAAGTTATTTCAAAACCATCCGAGTGCCTAACTATTTAAAACGGGTAACAACATCATATAGCACAACCTTGTGTTTTCCAATCTAATCAACGACCGTCACTACCAACTTGTGTCCAGTGTTCCAAACGAGCATCAACACACATGTCCTTGTTCCGAAAACCTTATGTACAAGTGGTTCCTCAGTCCCGTCCGTTAATCGTTCGTTTCAGGCTCGCGCGCTTCTGTTTTATAGACTATGGCAAGTGAATGGGATCTCAATTATTCTGTAAAAGTTGTCCGAGATAGTCTAAATGCTGCGCTTAATATGACCTCCTAATGTGTCAAGCAAAACACTCGACATTTTCACACACTGAGCAGTATATGGATTGGATGTCCCGTTAAACTGTGTGACGTTCAAGCACCTGCATACTTTGAGGTCCATCCTTATGCACCGAGTGGAGCTATTAAAGAGGACACAACTGACATCGGTGAGCTGTTTTCAGAACCGGTTCGATTTTTATCTGTTATTGGTGGACATTAACATTGCTGATTCAGCTGTCTACCGCAATCTCATGCCAAGCTGATTAAGGATAAAAGTGAGGTGTCTGTGACACGCAGTTGTGCTGATTATCGAGCATTTACTGGAGTTTCCGTTTGGTTGTCGGTTCCAATCTGGAAAGTTGTATACAAACTTCTCCCAGGATATTGCTCATTCTGTGGACACAGAACGCACTGATAAAAAGACGTTCCTGAGGCATGATGCAGTATGTACAGCAGTGCACCCTCTGACCTGCACAAACTAGCTGGCGTGAAAGCGGCACCATAGGTGTTGGACGTTGGCAAGGCTGCCTTAGCCTTCCGGACTCAAGAACTGGCCGCCTTCCAGGCAGTCTACCAGAACTTATACACCTATCCAGGTGAACAATTTACCTATAACACCCATTAGTGGATCTATAACCCTGAGATCCCCTTTGATCCCAGTGGGCCTTGCACCAGTACTTTACAATTTGGATGTGGGAAGCGCATAAAAAACAGTGCGCACAGACAGTAGACTTGTCTTACACCAATGGGCGTGGTGAACTCAGGTGAAGGCATGCCTGATTAGCCTACTTTTGATGGATATGCATGAGCCATCGTAGGTACTAGATGCTATGGCTTTTCTGTCATCAATAAGATCTCCTGTTCACTTCGAAATCCACTACTCATTTTTATCGAGGCGTATGGCCATAAAAGCTGACAGCACATCTTTGTTCCCTCTTTTTCATTCTTCCTCCGACAAATGCTTATCATCAGCGTAACTCTGCGTTTCCAGTAGCTTTCCAACCAGACCAGCTCGACATCGATGGGCTACTGAAACCCGTTGAAGTTGATCAACGGAACTGTTCTACTTCGGTATGTAGAATCCTGGACAGCGCCAGTAGATAACCGACTTGGGGTGTGCTTAGATTGGACAACCTTAGCCAGTGACTCAAGGGCAGTTAATTGAACAAGAGCGATCGGGAACATAACGAGAATGGTTACTTAAGTACTTCCACTACTACGATCAAGTGTCTGCAGCAGAGTAACTGCACATCACACAAGTTGAATATCTCTTCTTTGGTCCTATGTGTTGCTATCAAGTGTTGATCTCTTTGGCCTGGTCCCTCCCACAGAATGAGCCAGTTCCGTTTCAGAGAAGTTTGAGCAAATTCCTTTATCATTTCGCTGCAGGACAACAGCATTTTCACCTCGAGGAAGAAAGCACAGAAACGAACAACTGCCGGACTTAATAGATTAACTTTTTGGAAAAACCGTAAGGATAGGAAAAACAAGACCGAAGGAGAAGAACAGGTGTAAAGCAAACAAATCAATAAGACATTTAGCTTACCTTTCTCAAAAGCTCTCGATGGTTTCGCATCGCTTGCAAGGTTTCTGAAAATTGCTGAGCTGCCGAAAAAGCTTGATGAGTGCTGAGTGTCGTGCGCTTTTTCGGATCCATGCAGGCATAGAATGGGAGCATCAGATCACGCAACCCGCTCAGCAGGTCTTGTAGGGCTTCCTGACCACGCCTGGACGCAGAAATCGGATTTATGACCTCCCTAGCTGTTTCGCCGTACTCACTCATGATTATGATAGCTATAAAAGACAGTGTAGGATTGCGAAATTGCTTTCTAGTAAAAAAAACTGTAACAAGCAAAAGTAGAACACTAGAAGTGAGTATTTGTCTATTTTGCAGACTATTTGCAAGGTTTGTACAGTGGACTACCAGGAGTATGGAGTATATCAACAAAGTAACCCGAACGGCGAGCTAAGTGAAGTCGACGCTCAATCTTGTCTAGAGGATCCCAAGCTTCAGAACGTTTCCTCCAGAAAGCAAACAGCTCCTGGAGCTTCTTTTCCTCTTTCTTTTCTTGTTGGAACTGCAACTTTCGAATCAGAGTCAGATGGAGTTTTCGCCACTTCCGCTTTTGATGACGTTTCATTTTTCGTTTTCGGTTCTTTATGTCGTTTTTCGCTTCTAATGGAATAATGACTTGCTCTGGTGTCGGCACCAACGGAAGGTGATCCAAAGAAGGCGGAAGTGTAACGCGAGTTGTGGGGAACCAAGTTGGAAACGGAAGACTAACATTAGAAGGAACCGGGACTGGAGGTGGTAGGTTAGCGTTGAATGGGACCCAAGACTGACGACACAAAGTGTGAAGCGATCGTAGGACAGGGCCAGAAACGAGAACCTTCAGCTGTTTGAGAAACTAATAGCCAATGTCTTTAATTTTTTAAAGGGCAGATACGTACCTGCATTTGAATCTTGCACTAATTGTTGAAAAAAATGTCCATAAAATTCAGTATGGCGCCTGGATTGACACGAGATGTGTCTGAAAGAATGAGAAAGTAGAGTGCATAAATTTCGGTAAGCCCCGAGATGACTCAATATACTTCGGGCATTCCAATTAACACCACCAGGAACAACAGTCAGACGATCTCACGGACACAAAGTTAATATCCTATTAACACCGAATTACTCAAGGTATATAATCCGAATCTAAAGGGATCGCATTTCGGGGACCTACACAGTGATATTCCCCAAGAGACACTATTTCTGTCCTGGCAATTGGTCTCCATAGCACTTGTCTTAGTAAGCAGCAATCTGAGCGCCGGACCTCAGGTAAGTATTGAATCTGTCATGGCTGTCAGCAGCGGGTCAAGCTGCCATTCATCATCATCATCATCCTTGTCAGCTGTAAGAACCGCGTACTCGTCGTATACTGGTTGTAGCTGCCACAGTTTCGTTCACCGATGATTGGGGGGGGGTAGGTAGCTGCGCATTGCACGCGCGAGCTGGTAAATTGGTGCATAAATCCAGCGCTGTCAGTGGGTTGTCAAGCGGGGGGAGGGTGGAAAAGGAGCTACGCATT